GACCTGCAATTTCCAGCAACATGGTGTCTGGATAACAGTTCTTTTTTGTACTATGTCCATTTGTTTTTGCTGCTTATGAATAAAGATTCAATGTAGAGAAAAGAAACATAAGGTAAAAAGAGTGACCTATGGTGATATTGGCACGACTGAAACAAAATTCTGTCACATCCAGAAATTCAGCACCACGGACAGACCAACCTTGTAATTATTCAAAGGACAACTACATAATTCCTTATTCCCCAGATAAGTGTATAACATGGATCAATCCAGAAGAGAGAAAAGACACAGAGTTTACATAGTTCTTAGGCTGCAAGGAAAAGAAAATTAATATCCACAGATACAATCTGTTGATTGTTTAGTTTTGACAATTATTCTTATTTTTCATGTATTGTTTTATCTTGACTTCTGATTCTCCCATTTTCAACAGGCTCTATACTTTTTAGCTGTCAAGATCATGATATTATTCTGAAACAGAATAACCTTACTGCAAGCAGGGAATGATTAAACTGGCTTAGCACCCAAGTAGCGGGCAAAGTATTCCATTACATAATACAGCCTTCATAGTTAATGGCTTATGTCAGTCTGGCACGTGTGGAAAATCTTCAAGCAGGAGAATCTGAACTTGCACAGATTGGGAACTATACATCTTCTGCAAATTGATGGCACTTAAACTGTCTCCTGTTTAAAATTCCAGAGGGGATGGAGTGTAGGAAATGCATTATTGAACCACATCTTAGTTCACATCATGTCACTTCTGCTGAATAATTCCCTCCACAGTTTCTGCCCCACCGATATTATTTTGTTCTGATTGTCATCCAAAATCAAACAGGCAATTCTTACTGCATTATTTGACCTCAGACAAAAGGAAATAAGACATTGGAAAATTCAGACTTCCAGGAATTATTTTGGGTTTAGGGACCATGAACTTGACTCTTCCACCTCTCCAACTCTTCCCCTATCCTACTCAAAACACAGTGAGTGAGTGAGTGAGTGAGTGAGTGTGTGTGTGTATGGTGTGTGTGTATGGTGTGTGTGTGTGTGTGTGTGTGTGTGTGTGTGTGTGTGTGTGTGTGTGTGTGTGTGTGTGTGTGTGTGAGCATAACTCAAGAATTATTGATGGATCTATATGATATTTGGTGTGCTGTCAGGTATTAGAAGCTCATATTTGCATAATCAATGAGCAAATGCTATAATATACCCGAGTATAATACCCAAGTGACAGGAATGTCATACTTGGGAGGTGTGGAAGTTAAGTAAAGGTGAACATTATTAGACACAGATTATGCACGTCGGTGCATCATTATTTGTTCCTCCTTACCAAGCTGTGAATTGGTCCCCAGAGTCTGTCTGATTTATAAAGCTGTGCTGGATGATGGATCAGTACCCTGCCCAGGAAGAGTACTTGTGGCCGTGTTATCATTCCGAGAACTACCATATCTTCCAGCCTATTGTACCATACAAACAACTCAACGCTCTTTGCCCACTGTATTATCAGTTCCGCATCACGTTTATGCTGCATTTAGTTTTTCTGAAGAATAGCTACCTTGTCATTTCGTCATGGTTACTCTTGTTCGTGGTAGTCCCTGTGTTCTAGTTTGAAAAGACATTGCAAAACGGTTAAACGACGTGTATCAGCTGGTTGTCTCCTCTTTAAGCTGTCTAAAGGAAGAACATGACAAAGGAAGATGATGCATACATAGTTCAGGTAGTAACGTTTCTTGGACCCCGAGCAGAATGAAGACATTTTGATGTATGGCTGTTTTCCCATCGCCAGGAGCACACCATCATTTTCTACCAGTTTCTGGCCACTAACTCCCCAGAGAGTGGGTTTGTATGTGGTTGCGTGCAGATTAAGATCGTATCGGGTCAAAGTTTCCGTGCTTGTGTCCAATTGTCTGATGTTAGAGGTTGTTACGTGAATGAGAGAAGACAGCTCATTTAATTTCAGAAGTGTTCCATTTAGAATGAGTCCAAGGGGCGGATCTAATACTCTCTCGTCCTAGGAACTCGTCTTCTCCATTTTCTTTAGATTTGTACCTTTTAGTTTTCTGAATTATGCTATTTCTCTACTCGATTTATCTTTTATACCGATGTTCTGTGTACGCCCCCTTTTGTAATCCTGGCCTCTTGGCGACGTGTATCATACAGCAAAGACTCGTGGCCATGCTAAGTGGGACAGTCCTGAGGTCGTGACGTACTGTGTGTAATGGTAATTAATAACTCTCCTCATGTGGCGTGCCAGGCGACAATTATCGCCTAGGTTGCTCGGGGTTCAAGGTTTCTCGTTCATCCTGTAACTCCGAATCCCGCTAACACGGAGTTCACGGTAATCAAAAGCGATGCCAGGAGTAACATTACAGTCTGCCTGGCTCCTTGTGCATGGCAGATTACCAGCGGTGCTGCATGTAGACGTTGCCACAAAGAGCGATACAAAGCGGGTTTACCGGGTTATCGCAGCGCCTCCTGTGAAAGCGGTTTGAGGTGAAAGCATTTTCAACAGCGCTGTTGGGCGGTGATGTTTCCATTTCCTTTCCCAACGCGCTTTTCGCTGCTTGGCACTTACACACATTTAACAAAATCAATAAGCAGTGTTTAATGATAAATCAAACCAATCAACTTGGCAGTCCGTGCACCAGGTGCCTTTACAGCAGAGTTCCGTTACTTGAGATCTCGGTCTCGGCCCGACGACACACCCATCCCGGCACGGCAGTCTTGAAAAATGTCTCTCCTGATAAACATCGATTGATTCCTCTAGTCGGATGAATATTGATGCCGACAGCCAGCCGCAGATCTCCGGAAAACATCTGGGTTATAAAAGCCAGGGGCAAGGATGCCGCAGCCGGGGCGCGCAGATAAACACTCCGGCAGAACTAATGTATGCCTCCGGTCTGTACGGGATTCCGGCCGGGGGGAAGTAGGCTGGGAGCAGCACGCTTCAACAAGATTACCTCATTTTTCATAACCTTCCTGCGCGTTTTATGTTCCCAACATTCAACAGGGAAATATACGAGCGGCGCATTCTAGAACTCATGTTTATAGATTTGTTCATGGGGTTGATCATATCAATCTGGCTGTTACAATATCATGGTATTATCATATAACTCAGATTGTGTCTCTAGTCGTGGCAGGCTGTCTGGGATCCAGCTGCCCGCCTGCAGCATGTATCCACGGACGCTTTATAATGAGTCCCTCCCCGTGGTCCGTTCGCACATCATCAGAATTTCACTTACGTACCAGAGAGACGTTCAACCCGCTTTATGAGCAGATTAAGAGCCGACCCTGAGCCTTTTATGAAGAGACAGTACTGATTTGATATTTTGGTTCTCGGATTCTTCCGCTACAATTTTTGTCCACATCAATGCTGTTACTGGACAGGACATTTTGAAGCATCGACTAAATATAAAATCACAGCTGCTGCATTACATTTCACATATATGTCATATCTGGTACTGAAAATTGTTGAAAACAAATAAAACGTGAAGCGTAATGATCTACAAGTAGCTGATGTGTTAGCTAGCTCGGATATACAGATACAGATGTACCGGTTATACAGATACAGAAGTACAAATAAGAATCGTTAGAGAAATGATTCATGCACATTGAGAAACCCTACAGGACCTCTCACGTCAGTATCCTCCAGTCACATCCAGGCAGTTGTAAAATGATTGACATTTGACAAACAGATGTGCGCCTTGGGATAGAACACCGACAACTTTCCACGACAAAACGAGCATGGCTGGGAGCAACAGAGCTAGTCGGTTTGTCAAACTGAACTGTGCCATTCCAGCAGTCAGCCCTAGGCTAGTCGGGGAGATAGCCTGTATAATGTATGGCCGGATCTGTGTAGACCTGGATCTCTACTCCTTGGGAATAGTAATGCACTGCTCGTGGGATGTGTTCTTCTAGCGAAACGTATGCTTCTTTTGTCACAAGTAGGTCATCGAACAAAGCCGCCAGCCCGCATTATTACAGTAGGGCCGTGTTAATAACGCCCTGCAACCAGAGGTATCCATGTACACGTAATTCTGCTGTAATATCCCCGGGGACTGGGAGGTAACGTTAATACTATACTGCAAAAAGAGCTGTCTTGGTTAAATATTACACACTTCTAAAACAGACTTTTCGCCTTGAGGCGCCTTTCGTTAGGTTAAAAAAGAATAAGAACATTTAGATACATTTCTATGTCAAAGGATACACCGTGTACGTCATTAAGGCTTCTGGATGTAATTAGTCATTATCACTTTCGATCGTTGATATATACTTGTCATTTACTTTGTTTAATGTGTATTCAATTATTCGTGGGAAACATATTCAATCATTTATATGTCAAAAACGCGTTGCCATCCGCTGTACTAAATGCCGCATTTTTTCATTCAATTTTGCAATATTTTAGAGTGCCACCCAATAGAGATAGACTGAATATAAAAATCGCCTTTAGTTTTCATTGCATACAACAAGACGGAATAACCGACTGAAGCGTCTGCATATTGCATAGCCTACTTTGAAGTCGTGCAATCTAAAACGGCGCAGACGGGACTTAGGAAAAATGACCCCTGGGGAGACCCACGCAACATAATCACGTCACCTGTTAAATCGACACGTTAACAGGTTTGGTTACAATAATGACGAAGGGTATGAATTAATAGTGGATTAATGAATCTAGCTGGATTGAAATAGCCCGCCTTTGTTCTCCAGCCTGCGCGAGTGGTGTACCACCAAACAGAACCACGCTCCAAGTTCGCGCTGTCACCCTTGCCTTGCTGGCGTGCCCTTACCCCGCCGCTAGACCATCAGGTTATCGATTCTTCCATTTATTATCAGTTCCTATCGGTCGATATCGTCCTGTGATGAATATTGATGTTGATGCCTTGAAGGTAATGACGTGGCAACACCCCTGGTTTTAATTGATAGGGGGGCCAGATTTATTCTACAAGCTGCAGTATGAATAGCGGATCCAGAGAGGGTTTGCCCCAAACTGGGCAACGCCTTCCGCCCCAGCGGAGAGGAGCGGCTTTCTCGTGATTTCACAAATCACGCTTCCGGGACCCACGCGAGAATCTCGTCCGCGAAATGGCCGGGGGAGCCTTCGATGTGCCGGTGCTGACGTTCTATTGTTAATTCTTTTCTTGTAAACGTCGGAGAAAATAATGATTTGTCGGCCAGATGGATGTATTGGGCCCAGCTACTGTGGTGGTGTTTATCGGCGGACGGTTCCCGTGCAGGTATGATGTGTGCTGCAGTTCTCCTGGCGCATTCCCGGGCTTGCCGGCGCTCTGTCGGGAGGCGGCCCGCGCAGAGCAGACACCAGAACAGACCGGGCTCCTGATGCCGGCCGCCCCTGGCTCCCAGGACCGACCCATTCCAAAAGGACGCTGCTGTGCTGTCATTTCATAAGCTTTTCGACGCCGTGTTGGATTAAAAAGTGCAACGAAAATGCCGCGTATGGTGAGGATAAGGAAACGGGACGACAAGACCCCACAGACCCAACAACAACAACAACAACAGGCCCAAGAACAGTCCACCGCCAAACGACGAGACACCAAGAAGGAAACTAAACCCTCCAAGAAGTAAGTGGTCTAATTACGGCAGCTCATATCGTCCCGCACCTTTGCGAACCCTGAATGGGAGAAAAGAGAAACTGGTCACGGGACCTGCCGCTGGCTGTGCATCCATTCTTTTTTCTTATTATTCCGTAACAAAATAGCGTATTTAATCCTTAGGCAGGGCCTTATTCTGTTATTTGTTAATCCACCTGCATTGACGATGATGATGAAACATTAACGTGAGAAAATGCGGTGATAATGCGGGGTAGATCAGGACGGGACCGGTACCCCAGCTGAGTTCCGCATGGCGGTGTGTTCTAGCCCCGCCCCTCCCGTTACATCTCATGCACTCTGATGGCGAAATTTGGTGCAATCGCCTCCTCGGATACCTCATAGGCTGGCCGAGATTTTATGCGCCACTTTTGCTACCAACCTGTCGAAGATTTGTGTGTTTTTCCATGACCTCGAGGCTCGACCTGGGAATGGCAGATTTATGGTTATTTGTTCTGGTCTGGAGGACATGAAAATTGGTATATTAAGACATTTTGACCCTTGGTAACAAACGGTGTTACAGGAGGCGCCAGAACAATCACCTCATCACAAAAATGACTTAAAAACTCAATCAAACAACAACGTTATGTTGAGTCAGAGTTTTCTTACTAACCCCAACCCGCAAAGGGTAGGGGCACCGGCAAAGGTAATAGGATTTTTGTCGTCATGGTAGGAAGGATTCCGGAGAAATCCGATAAATTTGGGGTGCCTGGAAGAGGCCTAGGTGAGCGCGAGTGCACGTTTTCGTCCGGTTAATTTGCGGCTACGTTTTCTCAATACCTGCGGTTACATTATGTCAGACATCATACGGTGTTAAAGGTGTCACACAATTCACCTGTCTAATTTTCTACTGTCTTGCGCATTGATGAAAATTGGACAGTGTCTCGTCTTGGCGACCGTCCAGCCTAAGATGTAAAACCTTTCAGTCTTAAAGAAAGGGGACCCGGCGCGTGATGGGTGTTTTAGACTGACTTTGTCTACAAAGACGAACAGTTTCGATTACAGAACGTTTAGCTGTTGCGTGCCACCTGATACACGATAGGGTGTTTCGTCTGGGAAATATTCATACAGAATATCATGGATCTCACAAAGGGTCCTTGATATCGTTGTGGTTACCTTAAAGTGCCCTCCAAACCACGGATGAACGAGCACAGATTTTATCTGTTTAGCCCCAAGGGCCAATTAGGTCTCCGGTCCGTTTTAGAACACGGGCTCAATAATGCAACTTTCCTTCTGTTCAAATCCTCTTCTCGGTAAAATGAAATATCGGACATGGATGGCCGTCTTCTGCGCTTTTGGACAATTTCCTTGCGTCGCAAAATTATTGAGATTTAGTTTTGGTCTACATCCCAGCCACTGACCAATCAATACCTCTGCTGTGGTGTATGGAAGATGACGTCATGGGGGTGCTTTCGGAGCTGTTGTGGGCACAAATGAGTCGTATAAAGATTTCATGCGGCGTGGAGGCACGGCGAGGGGGGAGGGCTCGCCACAGGACTCAACCAAGTGTCCCGCACCGGTACCATTGTGGGTTTCGCCCCACCGTGGATTGTCAGCAAATTTAGATTTTCTTCTCCTGAATCTTCCTGCCTGACTCCGTGAGGCGTGTTCATTAGCTTATCAGGCAGATGCAGAAGAGAGGCGTCAGTCCCCATCACTCAGTGCGGTAAATACCTACAGTGCGATAACATCACACAGGCGGCCGCTATCTCTTGTCTCTCAGGGAAACACTTTATAGCTGAGCACAAAGAAGCGCCTATAGGTTACCGAAGAAACGATAATGCGGTGCTTTGGTCAGATCGGCGCTTGGTGCAAACATAGATCTTTCACTCTAAATGTGACCGGTACAGGCCCGCGAGTCTTAAAAGGCAAATACACTGAACTCAAAGGCAGGACATAATTGCAACAAAAGGAGCAATTGCAACATAAAGGGAAACATGAATCACAAAAACATCGCTGTTCACATAATGTATTATTTACATGACCTGTCTGTTTATTGTTACCGGTTATCTTTTACAATTGCCAGTTAACACGAAGAACATAAACTGGGGTCATTCACCTGTGATTTTCTTTCAATTTTAAGGAATCCGCCGCTCTCACATCTAAAAACATGATACGCTGCATCACTCAGTTGAGGTTATGTAGAACAAGGAGTAGCTAGCTAGGGATAAATAAATTTCTTCCAACTGTGAGACAGTTAAAACTTAATCACCTTCAAATTGTTACTGTTCTAAATTGATTGCAGAGAGTGACAAGAAATGTACCAATCATTCTGAAGGAGTTTTCACACTATTCATTCTTTAAAAAGCTTCGACCTATGCCAAAAGAGCGAATCATTAGTGTGTTAAGTGTGAATTCATTATTGTACGTATGTGGAGAACATGACAAAGCGCCATATTGCTCCTCTGGTACAATATACAGGCTCGTCAAGAGAGCGGCAATTCAGAAGACTGAGCAGACGACAAGCGGTTTGTCATGTCATGTCGTTCGTAAAATTGGACGAATTTTATGCCGTTAGAGGCAAAATCTATGTTTCCAGCCCTTCTATAATTGCAGCATCGTGCGGTGTGTTGAGAACAGACCACGAATGCACGCCCCAGAAGCGGAGTACGTCCTTATAATGAGCAGGGGGTGGGCAATAACGACTGTTAAAGTGATGGCGCCAGTGAGTGCCTTTATTACGCGCCTGTTACTGCGGACGCAGCACATTTACAGGCAGCGAAACAATAGCCGAGCCATTTATATTCCGCTACGAGATGCCTTAATTGTCTCCTTATATGGCCAAGCCCCGCTGGGTGCCGTTTGCACGACGCTGCTTTTGTTCCATGTTGAGCTCTGACCTTGTGTTTGCATGTGGAAGAAATAACAACGCCTTGATGGTTGTGTTTAAAAATGGAAGGTGCTTTTTCGCCTTTTTATATGCTCGTGTTTACAAGGCATGCATAAGGGCAATGACCCTGTTTGGAATATATTCTGTTTGATACATTGACTCGAATCTCTATTCTGGCACAATTGCGTGTAAGGACTCAAAATTCGCCTTGCCTTATTCATACGGACAATGATACCGAGAATGACCTGGGTGCAATTAGAAGAGATACGCTTCCATCTTAGGACAAAAAAAAGATATTTTATATTTCAATTCTGGTTCAAACAGGCGTTTTACATGTGTTATGAGATGCGCCATGTGCTGTCCTTGGTGCTGAAACCATGGATGTTGTTGTTCCATTGTGTGTCCATGTGAACAACATCCATGGTTAGGCCACAACGAAGTATGAATATACACACGCCAGCCAACCAGATAAATGAAACACCCGCAACTGTCCGCCTTATCAAAAAGTATGACAAATGATATCAGAATACATAACTAGGAGGAAGGCGGGAGTTATAATAAGATGAAAAGTACCAACAAGGAAGCAAGGATAAGGAGAATGTGATAAAATAAGTAATTCCAAACATGTAGGACTGTGAACATTGTAAATTCAAAAAGGGAGCGTAGTGCAGTAAATTCAAAAAGGGAGCGTAGTGCAGTATTTGACGAACTCTGGAGTCTAGGAGTATTTATTATTAGTTGAACAGCACATAGCCCGATTAATCCAACATCCATCTTCTTTACGTCGGACTCAAGATTGACAAAAGCAGAGGGTCAAAATGAGATCGATAATAATAGGACTACTGATCTCAAGAAAGGTCATAGGTGAAAGATGAGGTGAGCGAGAGGTCATCGGTGCTGTTTTGTCGGTTTAAACCAAGTGTTGATGAAATAAAACAAATGTTTAGCAGAACTTAAAAGCAAGTCGAAGAAAAGAGCAACTTTATCCAAATTTCATTCATTCATTATAACCAACTTTAAATCTACATCGGCAACAATGGGCACGAATGTGCCTCACCCTGAATTGTCTATGGTTTGTTAGAATTAAGTAAAACAAAATAAAGCTAATATACATAGGTGCAAACAATTACATGCACAACTTGTTGAGGCAAGAAACCGAACTCGTAGCGAAGATAAACTATTTACCCGGTGTTCAGGACAATGAAATGGTTTCCGATGCAGCAGTATTGCCACTACAAAACCCTGGGGTCAAAAGGCCGTGGAAGGACATGTCTTCTGACATGTCTGACAGGGAGTGAGAGAGAAAACATACCGCTCAGCACGTTCCATCGATACCGTGGAACTATTTTAGGTCGCGCCTGCGGGACGAACAACCTAGAACATAGCTGGATTACCGCTGTGTTGATCCCATTCACAATATTACAGAAAGATTCCTGCAAATGTACTCCAACCAGATATGTACTAACTTGTAAAACGTTTTTGAAAATATAAAGCTAAATGCTACCTGTCAAAACAAATTTTCGGTCCCATTGGATGATATTAACAATGTGCATCTCTTTTTTCTATAATTCATTTCATTCTACATGTCATGTCATAGTCACTCAAGTTGGTCTTATCTTTAGTGTAGTTACTATTTGTTTCTTTGTCGACTCCATCGCTTCCCAATTAACGCACAATACTACCTTGACATATAACAATATTGATTTTTGGTATGCAGCCAAACCATGCTCTGTCGTTAGCAGGTTTAGGTGTAGTCTTGAAATGTCACGTTTTTATGGACTTTACTGTGTACTTTAAGCACCTTACTCAAAATTACTCCATATCACCAAAAGCCAGGGATATGACGCATGTCGTAAATCAATTCATTACTTCCATCATAATTGCTAGACGTTCCTATAACGATGGCTAAATGACTACATTTTCTGATGCTACCGATATTACTGACTGTACGTTGCACCAAACGCACAGCGATACATAAATCGTTTATTCTAAATAATCCTATATATTTAGCCACACTCTGCTCAGATATATCATAGAATAATCACAGCCATAACTGAGAGAAATAGCATTACTGAAAAATAACATTCATACACATTTAACTAATATTACATTTCCAAACACAGAAGAGCTTTAAGTAGTTGTA